TCAATCTACGAGCTGTAAAGAGCTGTCGTTCAGTTTTCATGTGACCTAGTGGATTACACCATTGGTTAAAATATATCTGGCTCGCGCCATGTTCTTATTGGAGTGGTACAGAGAACCAACTATTTTTTCCAGTATCTTTAGTGATTTGATCCCAACCAGATGGCCAGAGAGGGAATAAAAACACATCCTGAGTAGCTGTGGCTGTTTGGACAATGTATACCGAATGTTTCGAATAAGAAAATGCCCAGTATTGACATTAGCATTCACACAAACTCATTCTCCTTATAAGGTAGGCTGATATTGACATTATCATTATCATTAGAGATAAGAACAGATACTACACTTTGATTCTACCCCGATGGCTGGGAAGTAAAGAAAAGAGTAGCATTGGCTCTTTGTTCAACGATAGAAAGAAAAGAAAAAAGTAAAAACCCTGGCAAACATTAAAAACGAAAGAAAAGAAAAGTAAAAAAAAAAAAAAAAAAAAAAATAGAAAAGAGAAAGAAAGAAAAAGAAAACAAGGAAGAAAAAAGAAAGACAAAAAGAAAGAAAGCAAAAAACGTTGACAAAGGTTAAAAAAAAATAGATAATAGAAAAACGTTAAAAATAGATAGAAAAAAGAAAATAAGAAAAACAAAGGAAAGAAAGAAAAAAGAACGACTGAAAGAAAAAATAAAAGCCATGGCAATCGGTAAAAAAAGAAAAAAAGGAAAGAATAGAAAAAGTAAAAAATTGATAGAAAAAAGAAAGGAAGAAAGAAAGTAAAAATTTTGACAAAGGTTAAAAAAAAGAAATAATTGAAAAAAAGTGACGAAAAGAAAGAGAGAAAAAGTAAAAAAAAAAACAAAAAACAAAAAAAAAACAACGAACGACAGAAAAAAAATCAACAGAAAGATAGTAAAAACGCTGACAGGCGTTACAAAAGCAGAAAGAATACGAAAAAGTAATAAAAAGATAGAAAAATAAAAAATAAAAAAATAAAAAGGAAAAAGAACGACTTAAAGAAAGAAAAAATATAAAAATACTGACGGGAGTCTGTTCCACCATTTCTTTCTTACAATTTCGAATATGGAGAAATAAGAGTTGAACTTAGTGTAGGAGAAATAAGATGGAATAAAAACTGAACAAAAAAATTAATTTTTTAAATTTATTCTTTTCTGCAAATGAAAAATTAAAATGTTTGGCCATTTTCATTCGATTTTCAAAACGAGGCTGTTACTCTTGTATTAACGAGAAAGAAAAATCGGGTGAGGCGAAACACACTACCATTGTGATCCTACCCTCTACTCAAACCAAACCTAAAAATCAAGAATCCTATTATATTAGACGCCTATCTAACACCATTGTATTACGCGCGTGACAAATTAAAAAGCAAACGTGCCATCCATATTTGGTGCAAATATGTCCGCCTTGCCCCAAAATGTTCTTCATACCAAGAAAAACGAATACTATTTAATTGAATCTTTCGCAAAATGTTTTTCAAACATCACAGTGGAAATATTAACCGAGAAATGTCTCTTAAACCTGGATAAGAATATGCTTTAAGACATCGATATGTAAATTACAGTGTTTAGTCTTTCGTAATAAAACATTTACAGTTAGTCATTATGGTTCATTTATTGCCAGTACTAAAGGCGGTTTCCTTCGTCAAACATTGCTTTTATTACAACGCTTTTGTCAAAGGGTTTATTTTTTATTTATAATAAAAACACTTTCAGACAGCGTCTTCTTCTTCTTCTTCGAATACGTCTCATTTAATTCTTTTTCTTCTTTTTTTTAATTTTCATCTTTTTTCTTCTTTGCTTTTTCTTCTTATTCATTTTATTTTAAAATTTTTTCGTATTTTTCTTTTTTCTTGCTTTCTTTTTTTTTCATTGTTTCTCTTTTCTTTCTTTGTCATTATTTCCATTTCTTTCTTTTTCTTTTTCTCTAGTTTTCTTTACTTCTTTTTTTTCTTTATTTTTCTTTCTTTATTTTTCTTTCTTTTTTAATTCTTTTTCTTACTTTGTCATTACTTTTTCTTTTTTCTTTACTTCTTTCTTTTTCATTAATTATTTTTCTTTCTTTTTCAGTCTTTCTTATTCTTTCCTTTTTTATTTCTTTTTCTTTCTTTTTCTTTTCTTCTTTTTTCTTTCTTTGTCATTACTCCGTTTTCTTTTCTTCTTTTTACATTATTTCTTTATTAATTACTTCTTTTATCTTTACTTTTTTATTTTGCTTTCTTTTTCATTACTTCTTTTTTTCATTATTTCTTTTTTCTTTATTTCTTTTTTACTTTTTTCTTTCTTTTTTCTTTCTTTTTCCTTACTTATTTTCTTTACATCTTTTCCTCTTTCTTCTGTTGCCTTCCTCTTCTCTTCCCATTTTACGATTATTTTATTTTTGCTATTGTTTCTTCTTCTTCTTCTTCTTCTTCTTCTTCTTCTTCTTCTTCTTCTTAAATAAGAAAAAAAAACTAAATAAATTAATACGAAAATCTATGCATTTTTTTCTTAATTGACGGGTGAGGTCCCCTTTATTGTTCATTTAAATTCTCTAAAAGTCGAGAGAAAGAAAAAAAAGTATATAATAAAAAAATCAGACAACAAAGCCGCAGTTTTTATTCTTTAAGAAAAGACGAGCTTCGTGGCTGAAGTAGTTGTATACTTACCTCCGGTGACAGTGATCCATGTTCGCGCTAAGGCAAACCCCATAAATTTTAATGCTACTTCTCTCTACGGACAGACAGGCAAGGCCCATGCGCAACTTGCTTTAATAACCCAACAGAATCTTCCAACTTCTTTCGTCACAGTACTAAAATCACATATACTTAGAATCAGAAAAAGACAGTTGAAATATATGGAACACATAATGAGAAAAGAAGGCTAGGAGAATGTGACACTCACGAGACATTATGAAAGCAAGACCGGTGGGAGGGAACACCGAATAATTTATATGTGGGAAAGTAAGTTGATAGACATTGCATAGAGCTTTAAATCACATGAAGTTGTGGAGACCCATGATCGCGCACGTCCTGGAGAGACAATGCACATAAAAAAAGATATAGCATTATTATATAATTTTCTATTCGGACCAACTTCATCTTTGTTAATTGGCTTGCAACACTTCGGCTTTTGTATTTTCCGACCTTCTTCACGTGTCTATCAATAACATCTTTGAAATTTGGAATCGTGTTCTTTATTCAATCTATGAGGTGTAAAAAGCTGTTGTTCAGTTTTCATGCGAGCTAGTGAATTACACCTTTGGTTAAAATATATCTGGCTCGCAGAAACCTCTGGATTGTTGACAACATGAATCCTATAATGTTCATTTCACCATTCTCCTCATTATTTCCCTGAAAACGGCCAAAGATTGGTGTCATATACTCTGTACATAAGCAATTTCGGCAAGTTCATTCGGTAAGACTTTAACTAACATCAAACACCTTATTCGACGTCAGAAACATACCAGAATGCTTAACAGATATTCCAAGTTTGTTCTAAACGGTAAATTGCGTGATCGAAATATATAATCCTACCACCACACACACACACACACACACACACACACACACACACACACACACACACATATATATATATATATATATAAGTATAATTTCAGATATAACTAAAAGTATATATGTAAAAGGACAATATGAACAAGTTTTCGTTTTAATTCATATATATATATATATATATATATATATATATATATATATAAGTATAATTTCAGATATAACTAAAAGTATATATGTAAAAAGGACAATATGAACAAGTTTTCGTTTTAATTCATATATATATATATATATATATATATATATATATATATATATATATATATCTTCATATATGCCTGACGTACCTTAACCGATTGGGCCACAGAGGGTCGTTCGGTTAGCAAGGTCGATTTTACTGTTTTTAAACTACAATCTTCCAATATCTCTCACGTACATTCATATCTGCTCGATGCGTATCTACATGTAAACAAATGACGTCACACATTATGAAATGGACAATGTCCGACAATTATTTTATGACATTTTTATGTTTATACATTCTTTTTTTTATAGATACAAATATTTAATTAAATGCTCTGTTTATAATAAACCGTATTAAACAACATTTATTGGCCTGAATGTCCGAGAAATTTTCATAGACGGAGGACGCATATTTTCTATGAAAATTTCTCGGACATTCAGGCCGGTGATTTTTCTTTTCGTGGATGCTGATAGTTTTCAAATATGCATTATCTGTTGATTCGTGAAAGACTTCTCTATTTAAGGTTTGCAAAAGCCAACCTACAAAATATGATCTTGAATGCAAATCATTTTTTTGCAAGCGAAACGATACGCTCTGAATCGATATGGATGCACTGACTAAATATTCGGCACCTCGTCATCATTAAGAGTTTATAAATCACCGCTTTTGTTCTGCCTAAATTCAATCAAGAATGTATTATTCAAATAAACCATAGAAATTATTCAAAAATCAATACGGAACTATTGTATTTTAAAGATTTTTTTCTTTTTTCTTCTGAAATATAAAATAAAATTCGAAATCGAATTAAAGAATTTACTCTAAAAATTGAACATTAACCATTATAAGCAAATTGTTTTGATTGAGAAAAGAAATCAAATCACTGGTAACCAAATTTTATGCGTTGTTTTTTTTTTTTTTTTTTTTGACCATTACATTTCAAGCAAGGCAGTAAAGCCACTAAGACGCAAGAAGTTACTGAGTGTGAAAGAATAACCATGCTAATGATAATATAAATTAAATGTCTTAATTTATTAGAAAATCATCTAAAATAAGGAGATATGAATGTAACTAATGCGGGCTGTTCACCAAAATACGTTATTTCAACTTATAAAACACTTATTGTAATCGCTCACACACACACACACACACACAGACACACACACACACGAACACACACACACACACACACACGCACACACACACACACACACACACACACACACACACACACACACACACACACACACACACACACACACACACACACACACAGACACAGACACACACACACACGCACACACACAGACACTCACAGACACACACGCACACACACACACACACACACACACACACACACACACACACACACACACACACACACACACACACACACACACACACACACACTTCACTTTAAAAGTTTGAGGCCATCCCTGGAATTAAAAAAAAAAATCCACCAAAATAGTTGTTCTGTTTTTTATAAATAAGAGAAAATTTTTATACACGGTTAAAAAAAAAGTGAGACATGATTTTAAATTAGAAATTTTATTATGATAAAAAGAAATCATTTTATAAATCATCATTTTATAAATAAATTTTGCTCTCGTCAAAATATCCTCCTTTAGCCTTGATTACTGTAGCACAAATCTTTTGCATTCGTTGCAAATGGTTCTCAAAGTTACTGAGTGTGAAAGAATAAGCAAAAAGAGAAACATTATTAAGGAGCGAGAAAAATAAAAAAAAAGGAAACAAAAAAGATAGTAGATAACGATTGACATTACATTTACATTTTTGGAGATCAAAGTTTGCTGGAAAACAAGCGAGAAATGCAAGACAATAAACTGTTAGCATAGAACTTAAGGTTGAATGTAAACAATTCAAATGAAAATTGATGAGACCTAGCTGCCAATCTAGTACTGCGCTTAAATTTATAAAGTGTAGGTGCCATAGAGGAAAGTTCATGAGAATGCTTACCATGAAAGTATTTATAGAAAAGGCAGAGGGAAGACACATTAAGGCGGTGGATAAGTGACAGAAGCCAGGTCAGGACTTTTATCAAGAATCTCTAAAGATATAGGAGGAACATCAGACCATATGTAGCAGCAATATCCAAAGCATGGACGGATGATAGACTTATAAATATCCAAGATAGATTCTCTCGAAAAAATTGTCTAGTACGACACAGTGAACCAACTTTCCTAGCAGCAGGCCTATCAATTGATTCAATATAATCTTTCCACTTCATGTTAGCAGAGAATGTTAGCCCGAGAAGGCTCAACGAGTCACTATGGTGGAGGTTAGCATCAGCCATACTGATGGAAGACAGAAAGTGGTCTCTCATATGATTAATATTGTGAAGTTTTTTGTTTCCGAGTCATAAAAAGAAACCGTCAGTTATGTGCTATGCGTGAACATGAATCTTTCGATACTGTGGAGGTGGAGTAATGGATAGAGGCTTGGACTGAGGAATCGGAGAGCCGAGTTCGAATTCCAGTCTAATCCATTACATTCACTTACGTGCTAACACCCTTATGAATCCTCTTCTTCTCCTCCCCGACCCAGCTATGGGTAAATAGCAGGTCAGACCGGGTTCTATAGCCTTGGATGGCAATTGGTCTACCGCAGAAAGAAATGGCAACCTGCTGCTGGAAAAAAATCTGCCTCGTCAGTCATGTACCGAAAGATACATGATCACTTAAGCGTGTGACTAATGCATGGAATAATAATGCAACACAAAATGTACTTAGAACAAAATGTATTGAAACAAGAAAGTGTACACAATATTTACATATAGTCTTTTGTATATTCCTGGGAAGACCGTTCCTGGAGAATGTGTTGACTGAGTCGCAGTCGGGCAGAGTCTCTGGTTGAATCTCTTGATTCCTCCCTCTCTTCCCGGTACCAACCATATTTATATGGTCGGTACTCCACTATGCAAATTAGATGGATCCTACCACAACACATATAAATAACGGAAAAGGTACAAGTCACCCCTTGTCCCAGTTAACAGCAGATTGTAAGTTATTATTGATATTAGCTGCCAATTTGATCTTATAGAACCAATCAAAGGGAAATTACCTTAGATGATATATCTATACAGTGAATAAAATTAGACATATGACATTCATCTCCGACTCGATATCTATGCCGATGTAACAACTACTTATATCTACTTTAATAGTAAAACCCTGCATAATACCCAGGATAGAGCCATTGGGGGGGTCGTTCGAATGAAAGGATCTGGAAGCGAGCTAGTTCAAAACGACGTTCATTACACGATTTGATAGCGTAGAAGGCCAGCATGCCAAACACTGTCGAACGCCTGTCGAGATGTCTACTGCCACATCACGATCTTTGCCGTTTCTATCGAGAACTTGATATACAAATTCAGTGATGGATTTTAACACATCGCCGGTAGACATGGTGAAACGGGAACCATATTGTTTGCGCAAAAGGAGGCCTACATTTCACTGAAAAAAAAAGAATAAAAAACCCCCAAAAAACAAACTCTAATCCGCTACACTTGTTAACGAAATATATTTTCTCCTCATTGATTTAACTGAATCATGACCGGAAACGGTTTTCAAAACACATTCGGACTTAATAGGAAGTATTTTCACTTGGCGGCCATATTTCATGGAGAAAAGCTCAACTATTTATAGGGAGAAATCTTCTAAAAGACTGAGAGGCTCGGTGGAAGACCGATGCTTAACCGTTAATCGAGAGAAGACTCTTTAAGAATCGTTAAATCTGTATGAAG